GTCTCTGCTTCCTGGATACCAATGAGATAAGCAGCTTCTTCTATCATACTCTTGCTATGATGTGCCAAAAGTAACAAGGCCAACCAACTATGATCTAAAACTGAAGCAAAGTAAGTCTCTCCTTGAAAATTGATCGTCTCAGGTATTTTGTCACAGTGACAGAACTTAGAAGAAAGAGTGTGTCATATAGTGACATATTTCATATGTTGCTATTTTGAGAATGCTCACTTTTAGGGACAAGCTCTTATACTTTCAGGGGAGGAGAGTCTACTGCCCCTTTAAAAGACTCTTTGCATAACTTCAACACTTTTTCCTTTTGCTTCAGCTAAGGCTCTTCACAGAGAAATTCACAAAGAACTACCCAAAATTGTAGAATCAAATCGCTCTTACTCCTTCTTTTTGGGTGACCTAAAATAAATTTTGTTCATTATAATACTAAATTCTCCGCCCAGAGCTGTTCACATCCACCATTTTTTAATGTGATTATGACCTCAAACTGAGTAAGCTCAGGAATGCGCCCCTCTACAAGTAATGATGAGTCTTCCTTATATGAATATGTGTAAATTTCCCCAATAAAAGCCCTTGCTTTCTTTGTTCCAGGAAACATCGCTTTGCAAATTAATTCCAGTGTTCTCCTTACTTGCTGCAGGTAATAACCATCTCTCTACTTCTTTATCTCTTGGTTATGCTTATTGGCTTTGCACTCACCAAGAGGTGAACCCATTGCATTCAGTTACAGAAGCATACAATAATACAACCTTTTGAGATTGGCTTTTTTCACTTAGTACAAAGCCCCTAAGCTCTGTCCAAATTGCTACATCTACCAATAAGTAATTACTTTTTGTTAATGAGTGGTGTTCCACTATATGGTTGTATCAAATTTGATTTAACTATTCATCCATTGAAGCAATGTGGGTTGTTCCAGGTATGGGCTATTACAAATAAACCTGCTATGAGCATTCAGGAGGAGGTTTTCGTATCAATGCAAGTTTTTATTTCTCGAGGATAAATGCCCAAGAGTTCAACTGCCGGGTCGTATGCTAAGTGTGTGTTTAACTTTTTGAGAAAATGCCAACCTAATAATCTCCAGCGTGGTTATACCTGAATATTTGACATTCTCACCAGCAACATGACAGGTAATAAAAATTTAAGTCATCACTTCAAAAATATCTTCTTCAAGCCTAAAAAACACAAGATTAAATCTCTTAACTATTATAACCTGAATTTAGTTTTTATAAAAGACAAATTTTTTTTTAATTTCCTGATTCCCCAAATAGACTGTTTCTGATTACCTTTAACAAGGAATTTATAAACTGCACATATTCTATAAGCTGATAGCTATTGCTATATTATATAGTAAACTGCAAAAAAGAAAAAAAAAAAAGCAAAGTAACATTGAAGTATACAGTAGAAATGGCAACTGTCTTCTTCCAGTCAGTCATAAAGACTAAAGGTTTAGCAACACTTTCTAGCATTTAGTATTGCGAAATGCGATCATATTGCATTAACATACAATATCATCAAAAGATGACACTTTTTTGAGCTGATCCTTGATAAAAATAATTTAAGAAAAACAACCTGAAATAAAGCTACAGTTTTCTTGGCTGTAGGATTTCTAACTTTATACTTTTTTTTTTTTTTTAAATCTTAGATAAAACTGACAATTATACAATGAGGTCCCTTTTGGATTCTTAAAACATGAAGCTAATTCTAGAGCAGATATATCTGCTTACAGGCAAACAGAAGCTAGACAGCCAATCCACAAAGAAAAAAATTAATGCACAGAAATAATAAAGCCCCAAAGAATGAGACGGTACTGTCCTCATTTCTAATGACTTTCTAGTTCTCATTTTTAGTCCCTTGTGCTACCAACTATATTGTTCCTGATATGAAGTTGTATAAGATACATTTCCTTTCAATATATTACTTTAAAAGTACATGACAGAACATTCTCAAATTTCCAGCTAATTACTTTGCAATTTAATTACATGACTTCCATCTAGTATATCTTCCCACATAGTACATATGGTTTATTGATAAACAGCTTAGTATATGTATGTCTAATATTCATGCTAAATATTTGTCAGTGTGAACAGGTCTATCTTAATTTTCAAATTCTAGAGCAATGCTTCCAATCCTTTGGGCCAGAGACTCAAGATTAGTCAAAGTCCATAGACAGTCATGTACCACCTAACAAAATTTCAGTCAGAACAGAATGACAGACGAAGTATCCCATAAGATTTTATCACCTAATGACACAGTAGCAGTCACTTTGTATATGTCCTCTGTGATGTTCAGGCATCTCCTAACACATTTCTTGCTTCTCAGAACATGTCTGTCATTACCTGCTGCATAACTGTACTTACCTGAAGACTAAATAAATATGATTCACAACACAAATTTTTCCAACATGACCAACATGCTGTAGCTAATAAAGTTCTTATATTTACTGAAGAACATTAATAAAAGTAGGTTCTTGTCATTAGCATTTCTTGATAAATTTTTAAAATGTAATACCTAATATAGGGGTGGGCCATACCTCATACCTCTTAAACTATTGCCTGTGTCATCCCAAGCAAGGATGTGCTGGAGACTGCGTGCAAAGATTTCAGATAACAGTGGGAGTATGCAAGAGTAATTGGGACACTGCATGAAATTACTTCAAAACAGCAACCTCAGAATGTAGGCTACTTAAATATCATGGAGGGTGGGGGGTTTCTAATGGCTCAGCACTCTTTACATAGGAACATACTCACAGAAACTTTGGTCAAAAAGACCAAACATATCCGAGAGTACACCACCTCACTAAATGCTTTGTCCTGATTCTATAACCTTTCTAAGTTAATCTTGAATCTCTATTTAAAACTCCATATCTCCTACATTTCATCAATAGTGCAGTTTTTCAAATTTGCCTTAACACCTTTACTGACTTCTTGTGTGCTGGATACCAGATAATTAAGCCAAAAGGATTCTAAATTAATTTAAAACGAAGGAAACTTGCTTTAACAAAACAATAAGATAGCAAGACTAGACCTTGAGCCTAGTATAATTCCTGGCAAACAGTAAGCACGACTTCTTTTGAAAACATGAGAACATTTCTTCTCATGCTGAAAAATAACCTTGGCAAGCATGTAAAATATCCTACCAATCTGAAAAATATTCTCCGGTCCTATTCTGTTACCAGTCCTTTCTCAGAACCCATCAAGACCAATTTTCAGGAAAGCCTCACTCACTCACACAAAGCAGCAGCATTTAATTCCCATTAGGCTCACTGCCTGATATATGGAGATAAGAGCATTTGCACATTTGCATAAATTCAGGAGTCCAGAGTCATCCTTCTTCATTTGATGCAGGGTAAATTTCAAAGCTTTGCTTCATTTCCAATTAAGTTTTATTTTTCAAATAAAAAATATTTTTGAAGTTTTATTTTTCAAATCAAAATTCTATTCATAGTATATCTTACTAGGGATGCCTTTAAGGAAAAAATATAATCATCAAAATTAAAACCTTATTTTTTTTTCTTTTCTAGACATCTGGGATATTCATTTATTATTATTTCACATTAGTTTTCAAACCTCAAAAAAGCTGGCCTATTTCCTTTAAGAAATTTAATTTTAGGGTCTATCAACATCTTGAATGCATTACTGTTATTTTTAAAATATACATTTGCATACTGGAATAAAATTTAGCATAAGCTTTCCACATAACCATTTCCTGGGCACTTACTAACTTATTATATGCCAGGCTTTATATTTAACACATCACTCAATTATCTCATTTGTTTAACAAATACACTCATAATTTTTGCAGCTCTAAGCTTAACACTATGAAACTGATAGTTGCACTGGACACTAACACTGTACTAAATCAGTAATGCCTAACACAAGTTTTTTGTTATTAAATTAACACAGAAAACCATCTGTGGTCGCATCCCCAGAGAAAGCTACTAGATTACACGACTACAGTGTTTAAATGATGTCCCCTCCACAGGTAGCAGATGAACACTACTTCTCTGACCAGTCACAACTGCAGATTAATTTCTCCCCAAAGTGTTACGCTCAGCATGTCATAAAAAATAAGGTGTCTTTAAAATAAATGTTGCCCTACTTTGTTTTTGTTTTGTTTTGTTTTTTCACTCTTTTCAATTTCATATTCAACAGCCGGACATTCTAGTTTTTCAAAAACAAACATAATTAAGTAAGACCCTGCAGTAACGTGCCGAATTTATCTACCACCCTCGCAACAGCAAAAACGTTCACGAGAGAGAGCTGGGGCGGGGAGAGGAGAGAAGGGGTAAGGAACGAAGGCGTCTAAAGAAAGAAAAATGGGCGACTTGAAAGAAGCCATTAGAAAAATGGGTGGCCTCGATAGGAACCTACGGGTTCTGTCTCGCTGGCTGGCTGTCTCTCAGAGACTCTGGTATTATTTCTGTTGAATTTCCCTAAATCAACTAACAGTTTCCAGGCCGGATTGAACCTAGGAAAACAGCCCTTTTGCCCCTGACCGCAGCTGCCAAATGGAGAAGAGCAGAGGGCAGCCCCTTGTCAAAATGCACACCGGGCGCCGGGAGCCTCCCCGGGCAGGACCCTGGGCCGGGGCTGCCCAGCTCAGGTCTAGGTCAAGATCACCTCCTCTGAGATGCCCTCCCTGACCACCTGACCTGACCCCACACACACAATCACTCCGGCCCAAAGTCGCCTGTCCCGCTGTGTGTCGCTTCTACAACCCGAGCCCCGAGAGGCAGCGCGGCCCCATCCGTCCGTGGCCGCCGCACCGAGGCCCAGGCGGCGGTGCAGGCCAGAATGCAGACTTGACACTGAGGGGGACCGTGGAAGCAACCCTGTGGAGACCAGGAAGTAAAGGACGCCCGCGCCGGCAAAGGCGGCGCGGCGGATGGCAGCCCCCGCGGCCGTCGAGGCCACGGCCATCCCCGAGGCCCACGCCGCCAGCCCCGAACTCCCATCCCCGCGCCCAGACAGTGCGATCTGCAGCCTCCCTACCCTAAGCTGCAGACCCGTCGCCTTCTGCCCAGTACGAACTTCCCGCCGCTTTCGCCGACTCGCAACTCGGCAGAGACGCCTGCCCCAACACACCCTGCAGTACGGAGCCTTCCCATTGGCTCTGAGCAGTAGGGGAGGCGGGGCGAGCGGCAGGTGGCGGGGCGTGCCAGAGCGTCCCACAGCCTCCCTAGGTATGCCGGGAGTTGTGGTCTGCGATCCCGCTGCATGCTGGGAGTTGGAGTCTTTGCGTGACAAGTTAAGTCGCGTCCCTCTGGCCCCGGGGGCTTATGGGAAGTGTGGTTTACAGCCTCTGATTCCGACTTTCTGTTCACAAAATGTACCCATATAAGTAAATATTGCCAGTGTCGAAGTAGCTTGATTTATTAAAGTGTATTGACAAAGGGTTGGATGTAAAAGACCTATGTTCCTGTGTCCAAAGCTTGTTTCAGTCTATGTAACATCCGTCGTATTTTAGCTGTAATTCCCTTAAAACAGTTTGCTTTGTATTTATCTTCGCTTGTCCGAGGCTTCACCACCTATGAGACCATAAGCTTACTACAGATTGGGACGCTGTTCTAGGTCAAAATCACAAAGCCATAGGCAGAGGGATATTTTCAATGAAGCCAATGAAGCATCGGCCTAAGAACCACACTTGCACCAGAGTCTATGAAGCCCTAGAAAGGGCCTTAGCTGTGTCTTTACAGAGGCTTTAGCCATTTCATCTACCAAGGTAATAGATTTTTGCATGATTTTTCTTTTTTTTTTTTTCACTCATTCAACAATTATTTATTGAAAAACTTATTATATGTCAGCTACTATTATAGGCATTAGAGATATCTGTGAAAAAAAAGTCATACATTTTGTCCTCTTGGAATTTACATTCCGTGTAGGAAGAGAGATAGATAATAACCTAATTAAGTAAAATATATGGCATTAGTGACTGGTATTAATAAAAGTAAAACTGAAAGGGGATAGAGGTGGGAGAGAGATCAAGATGTTAAGTAGAATGATTAAGGAAGGCCTTGCTAATAAGATTGCACTTGGGTAAAGATCTGAAGATCATTGCATGATTTTTCTTAAAGTGCATCCTCCGAAATTCTATGAGCTTCAGTCCCCTCAAAACCGGAACAAGTTTGCTCATTGAACTACAGTTTTGTGCCTGATACCTTACACTGCCTCTCTATGTAGGCTCACCTGCGCCAGATTCTTCCCCAGCCAGCACAAAGCCCTGGGAGGCTGACAGCTACAAACCACTTCAGGGTCCCTAGCTTCTGTTGGGTTTTGCTAGTGGGGAATCCCACAGAGGATTGAAAGGAAAGAGAAAGATTGGTTAAGGTAAGTGTTCCCCCTGTTCCTTCCTGACTAGGTCACTTCCAGTTGGATTGGTCCTTCAGCCAAAGCTCCCAGTTCCCTGGGCCTCCCTCCAGTGACAGGCAGTCCCTCCCTCTGTGCATCAGGTCTGGAGGTGATAACACCATACTGCCACTGAGCTACAAGTTACTGCTACGTCCCTCCTGGTTCCCAGTCCACACCTTGGTAAACAGTCTCATTGCAAATTAACCCCTCCTCAAATTATACTATTTCAAATGTGTTATCTGCTTTCTGTCAAGCCCCTGATGGAAAAACACACACAAGGTGAGCACTTGATGAATATTTGTCAGCAAAGAGGTCTCAGGATTCACACATCTCATGAGTGTGGAATTCCCAGCAAGACTCTGTGGCCAGAATCCACTGAGTGAAAGAAATCTCTTTCTCTCTCTCCTCTCTCTCTCTCTCTCAATCTCTCTCTCTCTCTCTGACACACATACACACACACACACACACACACACACACTCACACACACATGCTACGAAGATTTGGATAGGATTTATCTGTTACAACATAACCATGTTCCTCTAACCTCACCATAGACATGCAGAAGAAAGGTCACTGCTTCCACGCTGGGTTGACAATTGGCTGACCTTATAGCACAGTTAAATCAGCAACAGAGCATGGAGTGTTCCGAGTGAGAATAGAATGTATTTATTCCCGAGCTCGTGGCTCTGGCACCCTCAGTCGGATGGCTTATAGTTAAGTGCTGCTTAAATGCAGCTATGTTCCAAGGCGGTTGCCAACACCTCCAACACCACCCACACATGCTGAGATGTCCTACCAGTGCAGAGCACAGCAGGACACCAGCCCAAGCTGCCGTCATGGAGACATGCTGTCTCCAATGCTGGAGGTGGGCATATAACTCTGGTACATAGGAGACCCTAAGCAAATTTTTACCAACTGGTAGCTTGGTATCAAGATCAGAGTTGTGCAAAAGATGGACCGGTCAGGACCTAAACTGCTGGGCTTTTGAAATTAAGAATTGAACTAGGGAGAAGAGTTCATGAATATAATCCTGCCATATATTCAGAGATACCACTACGGTCCAAACAAATGGTCACCAAGTACTTACTGTGAGCCAAGGATTGGACTAACCCCCAGGGATTCTAGTTTAACTAATATTTAAGGAGGCCCTACTATTGGTTAAGCAAGCACAATGCTTTTTCACACACGTTATCTTCCCAATTCTTAAAGGGAAGAAAACATACCAAAGAATTTAAATGACTCAGGTCCCATGAATCTACTTCTAATGGTTCTCTTCACTGTCCCTTTATACATAGCCTCAGAACACAAGGACAATTCTTATAAGGAAATAATTTCAGCACAATGATAGGGACCTGTACAGGATGCTGTCTTAAGTAATGGGATTCCAGGGTAAGGGATCATCACGGATAAAGCAGGGTGACTTGTAAGAGATTTGTGCACTGTAAGATAAAAATTTTTCAGCTTTCCAGTCAAGTGAAAACCAACCAAACTCTCTATATGGAATGTGCACTGACTTTGCCACATTGTTGTTACCTGGGGTGCCCTTTTTATAATTTCCTGGAGCCCCTGCAACACCAGTTGCCCTAGCACAAAGGCCCACAGAAATAAACATAGAACAGGGCACTTTGGGAATGAGTAAGGAGGTTGGCATTGCCTCTCCTGTGTCAGAAACTCAATCTGTGACATTCAAATAAACAAGACAGTCATTAGGAAGCAACACTGCCTTGCAGGCTGCCCAGCAGGTGCCCACTCCACCCATGAGTCAGGACAAGAATACTGGTCCTGATATTCCCATCTGTAGAATGGCAACAACCATCCTGGGCCAATCAGCAAATTTCATTCCCTTCCACCCACAGCCCTCACCCCAGACCAATGGGAAGCAAATGAGGTAAGGTCTGAGAAGGGCTTTAATCCACCCAGAACGAAAGCCACAGGATGTCCTTACTAATTACAGCAAGCCAAGGAAATACTGCCTCCTGGGAGGAAGGAACCCAGGAAGGAATGAGGAGCAGAATGTGCCCAGGGTGACCTGAGTACCTGCCACTGGCTCGTATTCTTGCAGACTCTCTAACCTTTACGCATCAACCATGTGCCAGGCACAGTGTGCTTCATACATTTATATAGTCTGATGAAGTCTTATATTTGATGAAATAAGAAATTCGAGTAAATAAGATTTTGATGAAAGCCTGTTATTTTCTGGGAAAACCATCTCATATACCCTGCAAGATGACCCCAGTGACCAAGCTCCAGAGCTATATAAACTAATCTTGATCTGCTCAAGGTCACCCTGCTAATAACCAATAGAGCGGCCTGCTGCAAATCCACCCCCAGGCCAATCATGGTTGCTGGTGTCTGAAAATCCAATGAGGTCAGAGCCAACTGGAGGGATGGCCTTCAGCCTCCATGCACTTCTGCAGTGGTACAGTTGGTACCTGCTAGCCGAGCCCTGCACTGATCTGATAGGTACTTAATTTCCTGTGTTAAGTCCCTTTGCGCTTAAAATACCTATAGTGGTTACTGCGTTCCCCATGGTAAACTTTGATAGAGGAGAAAAGTTGGCCCAGATAAATGCAATCATTTCTAAAACACAAGCTTTTCACATTTTAATCTCTCTGAAATCAGAGTGTGTCTTGCAATCCATGCCTCTTGTAATTGGCAGTGATTTTATTGTTTCTTTATTAGTACCACATAAAATAATGGAGCTTTTTACACTCAATGAAGTCCTAGATTTGATGAAATTCTAGGCTACCTAGTGCTTTACTTGCTTCATTAGAGACTCTCTCCAGGTCATCTCTTCATTCCACTTCCCACAGTAGGCACTGGATTTGACACTCCCAAACTCCCACAGACATAGACATTTCTTCCTTTCTCCTGTTTCACACTTTTTGGAAGTGAAGATACTTTCTTTCCTTAAAGAAAGAGAAGCAGTATGGTGATGTGATTGCATATGGTTTTTGGGAGTAAGCCAGAAATGAATCTGGAACTTCCCTCTGCCACTAAATTCCTGTGTGACCTTGTGTAAATTATTAACCTTGCTGATTTCCCCACTACCACATTCATCTATAGAGGAGAGTAGCTGTTGAGATTAAATGAGATAGCATAGGTAAAATTCCTGACCCTGAGGAGACACGCAGTCCTGCTCCCTCTTGTGTCCTCCTTCTGAACATCATGGGTGCTGCTTCTCATATCCACCGCATCTCCAAGCTATAAGCAGCTGTCATCATTTATTGTCAGTGGCTAGACACAGACTCAGGTCAAGTATACATGTGTGTTCATATCCAGCTGCCAAGTTGCAAATTGGGAAAGGAAGGAGAGCTTGTTCAAAAACAAAAGCAAGTCGTCGCTTTTCTTTTTGCAACCATCCAACTCTTGTCATGTTTTGATTTCGGGGCTGCTCCAGGATTCTAGGATGAAAGGCGCTATATGTAAGTAGCACTATGAGACTCAAAGGGGCTCCGAGCAAGACGAAATCCTTTTATCATGAGCGAATTGGAAAGACTTGTTGCTAAATATAGTTCCTGCACAGAAAATGTTTTTCCCTTTTTTTCTACACATCATCACCACCACCACCACATCGTAGCTAAACCCATACGATATCAAATAGTCTATTAGGAAATATTTTAAATGATAACATCTAACACGTTTTTGTAGTTACCCACCATGTTCCAGACAGGGTCCTAAAGTACTTCATTTGGTCTTCCTGGCAACTCTGTGAGGAAAGCTACCATTATTAGCCCATTTTAC